AAAATGTACATGCCCACTGGGTATATCAACATCAAATGACATCTTAACAACAATGTAAAACCAAATACAATCAAAAATAATTTGTACTTACGTTTATTTTTGTTGAAAACCATGACCTCGTGTTTTGCTGCTACTCACTCACATGTAAACAAACCGACACTGATGCCAAATATAGCAGAAATGCAGCGCAATAATTTTTACGCATGCCTTCAGGCAGTATAGTATATGATACACCGGGCCCGGACGAATTATTACGCTCTAGGCGGGAAATAAAAATATATTTTCAGGAGTATCATATATGATACCATGGGTCTGAAGAGGTTATTACTGTTTATAGTCGTGTTGAACAAAGAGCCTTCTGGTATGGCTGACAGTGCCTGACCAATGAGGAAGTGACTAGGAGTGATGGCCTGAAGATTGTTCGGGTCTGAGGTCATAGGAGTTAGAGGTCGGAAGTTGAAAGTTGCTTCAATTTGGATCAAAATAGTGTAGAACTCTTCAAAATTTATAGTGCAACCATTAAGAATTCGCTTTAAATGTACCTTTGTTGATTTCACTGCAGCCTCCCAAATTCCTCCAAAATGAGGAGATCTGGCTGGTATAAAATGCCATTTAATTTTATTGGCAATTATTGGGTAATTGGAAAATTTATCTGACTTTGAAATTTTATTAATGGTGCGTATTAAAATGTTACTAGCACCCGAGAAATTGGTAGCATTGTCAGAGAACAATTCCTGCGGAACTCCACGTTGAGAGGCAAATCTTTTAAGGGCAGCAAGAAAGGCTTCGCTAGTGAGCTCGCTAACCAATGCAATGTGACACGCTTTCGTGGACAGGCCAACAAAGATGCATAAATATGCCTTTAACATTCTTCGGTTTCTATTTTTGCACTCTTTCAGCTGAAATGGACCAGCGTAATCGATTCCACATATAGAAAAAACGCGAGACGGATTTACACGATAAGAGCGCAGATTACTCATTTGTTCCTCTAATGTAGAAGGGTTAGCTTTAAAACATGGTACACAAGCTCGCAAGACAGATTTGACTGTCTGCTTGCTGCACATACAATAAAGTTGTTTGAACGCCAGCATGAAGTGCTCGATTAGGCTGAAAATTGTTAATTAAGGCCGTAAATGGATGCTTTTGTGGCAGTACGATAGGATGTTTGTAATTGTAGTCCACATCAGAATTCTTTAATCTACCTGCGAGAAATACCTGTTTTAGTACTTGCTTTATGAGGCCAGTATTACTTGCCTCAAGCTCCTCTACCGAGAGTTTCCCAATCTTCCTCTCCGTTGACGAGGATAAGGTACAATTTAAATTGTTTATGAATCGAAAGCAATAAGCCGTGACTCGCAATAGTTTGGTTAAATCCGAATACCTTTCAAATAAATCACCGTGTTGGGCAACATTTGCTAGACAAATTCCTTCAGATTTTTTAACGCGCAATTCCGAAATTGCTTCAAAGTTTGGGATATGTGCTATAGGCCTGCGTATAAAAGAGCCTAATAAGAATGTGGGTCCATTCCACCACAAAATGCTTGAGCAAAGTGCTGTTGGAGTACTACCCCTTGTTACTAAATCTGCGAAATTTTCTAGGGAGCTGACATGATGTCAATGTTTTCTGTTAAAATGTTGCAGAATTTCCTATGTTCGATTGGCTATAAATGTTTTAAATATGCTCGGTTCTCGACTCAGCCACGCTAATACTATCGATGAATCTGTATGTAGGTATATGCTAGCTTTCGGAATTTCTAAGACGTTGGCACAAATGCTAGTTAGTTTACTAAGTACCAGGGCACCGCACAACTCTAGTCTGGGTAGTGAAATTGTTTTGATATGAGCTACACGACTTTTAGAGCAAAGCAGTTGAGAATGCTTGCTTCCATCATCACCAGTAGATACTATATATATGCACGCTCCATACGCCCTTTCTGAGGCATCGGAAAAACCGTGCATATACATAGCTTTATAATTATTCGAGAATGCATGACGGGAAACAACAATTTGCTCTACATGCTGTAAATCGTTGAATAAGTTTAACCATTGAGTGTGCAAATCTGTAGGTAAAGATTCGTCCCATTTGATTTTAGCCTGCCACAGTCGTTTATTAATTTGGATCTTATCGTTATGGGAGATAACAATCCTAATGGACCAAACTATTTTGATATACTATGATAAGATTTCTCCCTTGGTAACACTGATCTTATTTTTGGCACTGCTAATTGCTTTATAAATAAAACTATCGGAGTGAGCATTCCACGTTATACCGAGAGTTTTTATTGTTTCCCCTGAAACCGTATAATCTGCATTACCAGTGTTGTCCTGCAATATCGAAGAGCTATTCGACTGGAATTTTCTTAGACAAAACCCGTATTCAGCAAAAAAAAATTTAAATTCTTGCGAATTTCAATTAATTGATCAATGTTGTTGTAACCCGTTAGTAGGTCGTCTACGTAAAAATCGTTCTGAATTATTTCGCTTTCTAGAGGGTGTTTACTTTATTTGTCCCTGGCAATTTCCAGTAAACATCGAGTTGCCAAAAAACTGGCACTAGCAGTTCCATAGGTAATGGTGTTCAGGGTATAATGTTGCATTGGGAAATTTGGATTTTCTCGCCACACGATACATTGCAATCATCTGCCCTCAGGACGGTCCAATATTTGTCTGTACATCTTCTTCAAGTCTCCAACAAGCTCAAACTTGTGTTTCCGAAACCTTAGAAGGATGTGGGCCAGCCCTCTAAGGTTCCGCCTTTAGAACATGGTTAAGCGATAAGCCTGATGAAGTTTGCATGCTTGCATAGAAGACTACTCTGGTTCGAGTTGTAGTGATCTCTGCTTTCTCAACTTGATAATGTGACATGTAATATCTTAGATTCCCTGATAAGTTGCTCTCATTGGTTATTAATGACATATGGCCTAATTCAATATGTTCACGCATATATTTTTTGTATTCCGCACTCATAATGGGATTGGGTTGGAATTTTCTTTCCAAGGACTTGAATCTGTTTATTGCGATGCTTTGGAATTCGCCCAGCTGATGAGAGTTGTCCTTGAGTGGTAAGGTGACCATGAATCGCCCTGTTTCAGTTCTAACAGTCGTGGTATCAAACTGCTCCTCACATTCTGATTCTTCGTTGGAGAGATTTTGCGATTTTAATGCGGATTCTTCAATGAACCAAAACTTTTCTAATTGAGTTTCTAATTCAGAAAATGTGAAAAAACAAGATCTAGGTACATTGTGGTTCTGATAAATAGAACCAGCAACAATCCATCCAAGACGAGTTTTTTGTAGCAAGGGTATGTCACAAACTTTAATTTGACAATTTAGTTAATCTTTATATATAGGGTGATTCAAAATTGGCGTCATTTCTCTAGTTGTTGTACATTGTTGTTCGTATTATTGGCGCTTGTCGGTGGACTTATAGGGCTGTTGATATATTTTCGCATAGACTGTCCGAGTTATATCAGGCGCAAAACCAATAGCTATTTACATACCATCAATATCAACTTAATTAAAAACAGATTAGATTCGAGTTGGAAAATTAAAGAAATTAGTGTTATCCATAGAGAGATGATTTAAAGGGCCACGTCAAGTAGTTTAGCAGAGTTAGAGTTTAAGCAATTGCCGTCAAAGTACGCATAAATTGGGTGCTCCATTCAGTAGATTCTTCAAGTAAATCAGCTGAGCTGCTTTTCAATTTTATCCATCTGTGTCGGTTCACAGTTTTCTGAAGTGTTGCATCTAATCCTAAATCTAATTTTTACATGCCGCTTTTTTAGAAAAAGTTAATAGCTTTCAGATATGTACGGGGTTATTGACTGAACTTTGGCCCCCCCGTTTTTGCATCTAATATGAAATTTAGAGACAAATGTTAAATGCAAAAGTTGTAGATACTGACGTCTAGTTTATATTAAGATAATACCTATTGATACATTGATCCCTACTTAGGAAGCAACAAACGATATCAATTTGTAACAATGAAACTCAAATCTTCTTCGCGAAATAAAATACATGTTTTCGTATTCACGATTTAAGATAAATCTTCTTTTACGTTACTAAGAAAATCTCAAGAATATTTTTTTTGTTTTGTAGGAAATACCAAAACTACCTGGAAAGTACTGGTTATGAAGGCCTTACCAGACGTCGCGAGTGCAAGAAGACCCACTCAAGATCAAGATCCCAATAAACCAGTTCGGCAAAATGGATATTAATGATATACGAATATCGCCACTTTTGAGCGTTGCAAATAGTCCGGATTTAGTTGTATATTTATTAAGACGAGAAGCTGATATTAAGATCAGAAATAACCTCGGGGAGACATTGTTGCATCTGACCGTTCAAGCTAGAAATACGGAACTTGTAAACTTTTATCTTCAGTACGGATTGTCTGCAAATGACAAAACACTACGTGGCGATACGCCATTAACGTATGCAGTCCAAAGCGGATTCGTCGAAATTATGGATCTTCTTCTAGAGTACGGTGCTGATTATAAGACGACGAACTCTTTTAATAAAAATCTAGGTCATTTGGCGGTTGCAAAAAACCAAAGAGAAGCATGCAGGCGGTTGGTCACTCTGGATATCAACCTTAACCAACTGGACCGGAACGGAATCTCTCCATTACACTCAGCAGCGGGAAGAAACTACTGTGATATAATTAAAATCCTGATCGAAAACAATGCCAATATTGACATACGTAACAATGCCACTCCGTTGCATATGGCAGCTGATAGGGAAGAATGTGGAGACGCAGCTGCAGTATTGTTAGAGCAAGGCGCTGCAGTTGATGTAGTGACTTATAATGGGGACCTTCCTCTGCATACAGCAGCCGCATCTGGAAATAAGCAAGCAGTAAAGCTGCTTTATCGGAAATATTTTCAAATTCGGAAAAACCGATGTGGACTCACACCTTTAATGATGGCCGAAGCCTTCGCAAAAACGGTCAATGGTGTGCTTAATTAAAGAGATGGAAATGTGTGAAAGGATCAGTGCAACCAGTGCCTTATCTGCTACTAAAGCAGTACTATTACTATTACTTAAGAGCGTTTTATTAAATTGTTAAATGTGTAATTGAATTATAACTTTGTGTGTATTGTATAAGTAAGTAGCTTTGATGAGTATACATACATGTATATTCCACGAACATTCATGTTAGGAATGTTCACCCATGTATATTCCCGCAATGTTATCTATATTTTTTTCAACATTCTGGGATATTCATAGAATGTCAAATGCTATCTGGACGCACGTGTTCGAATTATAGATATCAATTATTATGAACTCTGTAATCCGGAAGTTTTGGTAAACCGAACAGGCTCTGTAAATTTTCTGTTCGGAATACCCATACATTACTTGTGTTGTACCAATGTAGGTTTGCTATTATTTTTACTTGAGCGCAATGCGCAAGCCGGCGATAATGAATGAACGTAATTAAACTCCCAACGTTTGTACTTAATTTAAGTTTATTCCTCTTTGAAATTAAGTGATGACTTCTGTTATTAGGGAATACAAAAATATTGTGTGTAGAGGACGATAACGAGAAGCGATCTTCTGACAGACAAGCTAAATACCATTGACGTAATCTCGTCCTTCGTCTTTCGATGTTACATAACAATAAACGGTCCTACAATATATATTTAAAAAAACAAAAACAATTTACGGTGCATATGCAGCGTTTCAAGCTGCATTCCTGACCTTCATGGCATAATATAAAATGGGCAGTTTTATTTCAAAAAATACACTTTGATCTTGCCTCGCTATTCTGAGACACTCTGTATCATATAAGATATTTTTATAATGTGCGCACTTTGTGCGTCAACAACTTTCATATGAAACTGTTTTTCGAAAGTGCAACACCATCGGCAATAATGGACTATATCGCATTAAAAAAACCACCCTGTATATATTTAATCTATTTTCCGGAATAAATGACTAAAACCCAGAAAAATGGTATATAATAAAATTGATTTACAATGCAAAACAAAATTGTACCTAATATAATATCTCAGTTTTCAATGTATGTAAATAATTATCCATTATCCTATGTTATAATAGTATTTCCACCTTAAATAAGAGGAAATGAAAAAAATCCTCTCAAAGAAGCCTTCGACAGTTCCCTAGAAAAATGTGGAAATTTTGAATCACCAAGTATACATTTCACGTACCAAATAGCGGATTATACAGGGTAACTCCGGTTTAAATTTGCTTAACTTCGAAAATCAATACAACAAGTTAGAGTCATGTCCCTACATAATATAAAATTGTTGAAACCAAAATTCTAGATTTTTTCATACTTTTTTAACCTTTCATCCGATTGTAGCTAAATGCAGAAGACGAATAGTTCTAATGACCTTACAAATTTTAATCTCCCTTTTAAAGAAAAGGGAAGGAAGGGTATTTTGTCGGCCACCCCTTATTTATTTTATATCAAAACTTGAACATTAAACATGATTCCATAAAAAGGCTCCACAGTTCCCAATTCGCTGATTTAGTTGGTAACTTTTTTCTCTCTTTTTTACATTTTATTTTGTTACTGAGATATGCAATTAAATTCGGGACAATGTGGTCACGTATATTTTATTAAACGTTGGAGCAAGCGATGGAAATCCAGTGATCTGTCGTTTGTGCTGCATAGTGTAGCCACAAAATACCCTTCCAACAAGATTGCGTGATTATTTGGATGAAACTCACGAAGACAAAACTGAAAAAATATTTTGATCCAACGCTCCGAAACGATGCGACTTAGAAAAAAATATTATGTCATGCAAGGAAGTCATTCACTCTGTATGTGCAATTATATAATTGACTGATTGCCACAAGTTTAAAAACTTTTTTTCAGAAAATTGTTAAAAGAGACAAAAATTGGGGTGGCAATTGGCGTAACATCTTGAGACCGAAATTTAAAAAAAGGGCTTGTAATTGGGAGCGAGTACTGTCAGTCAGCGTATTATTTGGAAACTAGTATTTACAGAACAAGAAATAATTTAACAATTTAACAATGTATAAAAAGTTTGCCCCTTATAAAGTATGTTCACATTTGTCAAATTTTGGTGGAACAAAGAATGCTTTAATAACTGTTCTCTACAAGACTCCGCTACTACCACCAACTAAAAACGTTCATTCTGTAGACAATAAAATAGACTGCCAAGTGATATTGAAAAATTCAGATAAGTAAGTGTGAAAAATGTAGTGTTGAGCCGAATCTTACTATATCCGAGACGAGCAAGTAATCTGGTGAAATATTACTTGTAACCGTTACGTGTATAGAGAGTATGAACATCAGCTTTGCAATGACTGACTCTCCCACATCACATGATTACTGCGACATGCTTTGACGATGCAAATGTATTAAATCTGCGGTTCCTTTGAAATTGCATACTCGTCAGCAACCTTTTGCATTACGTTAATGGAGCTCGGGCATACCACCACTGTTGCCCACATTCATTGATTATCATCCGCATTTCATTCCTAAATAACATTTTGAAACGAACATTTACCTTGCTTTGCAATCGCATATCTAAAGTTTCCGTCCAAATCTAAGGACTCATTATTAAGTAGTTATTATCTCTTTATGTTCTAATATGAGGGAAATTTTTCTTTTCTTCTTTTCCAAAACAAACACTTTAGCCTTATCCACTCAACTAGGACGAAACCGATAAAAATATTTCATGCCCGTCCCGAAATACTCAATTTAGCGAAGTATCGATAGCTTAGCGAGCTTTTTGGGCTATAGCGATCCAATCTATGCTCCCTTGTGGATTGATTCCTTGTGAGATACTAACAAAACCTATCTTCCTTTATTTTTATATTAATACCCCTTATGTTTTATGTCTTTTTTTTTATAACATAAAAAAGCGTTGGCTAATTAATTGCTATTGGCTATTGGAAATTCAAGAATGTAAATGGATTTACCGAGTGTGAGCCATCAGCTATCTGAACTCATAAAAGTTTTACCATAAAAAATACATTGTGCTAAGCTTATTCGAGTTTTAAATGCCGGACAATACATTATGAAAGTCGGACTGACGAATGCCAAAATAAACAACCTTTGAGCTTTGAAAAATGTTGCCATTCTATGGGCCATATATTTCCCAGTCGCACATTTTTCATTACACGCTACACTTCACTTTTGAGGTACAATACGAAAATCCGTACCAAAAAGGGCATTTCTTCTATGCATTTTAAATCAACGACATCATTTTTAGCCCCAGCAGCGATCAAACTGCGAGAATGAATTATAGCTATCACGTGCGTTTGGTTTAACAGTTATTCGTTTGTACTTAGCTGGAAGAGCATCATCAACTTATGTGCCAAGCTCTAGAGGAACTGCTGCGCACACATGCTGAAGCAAGTGAACGCTGATTTTAAAATTTGAGCGAATTTAAACTAACAAATTCTGCAGACAATTCGGTTAGAATTTTTTTAATTGCTAAGTTGCGCCACTATTGTAAAATTAGTCGATGTATTGAATGCTAATACCTTACCATTTTACGTTTGCCGAGAGGTAGGAAATATTATATTGGTAATCCGCGACATGAGACGGACTGATCTATCAGTGAAAGATTCCAGGCAAGTGGTTCTCCTTGCCTCAGATGTTAATGTAAAAAACGCCACTAAGACTAAGTATATATTTATCATATATTTTTTTAAATCAAAATCTAACAGAGTTCAAACTAGCATTTGCAAGAAAAACACCAATAAATGACACAAACACGAGAATAAAAAGTGAAGTTCACTGCAGAACACATTCGGTTTATTCTTATGCTTTAAAGATTCATATAAAAACTATCCACAGTAGCAAACCTTGTTGGTGAATGTTGAAAAACTGAGCATAAAGAACTTTTAATTAGAAAAATCGGTCGGTGCTTCTGAGAATAAAAAATCCGTATAAATTAGGGCGTAAGTCAGAGAGAAACATTAACAAGATTGCAACCTTTATCACACGACATTAAACAGTGTAGTTCTCAGCAGAACACACTAGCTTTATATTTATATTTTAACGGTTCATATAAAAGCCGTCCGCAGAAGGCAATATGGTTAGTTAATGTTGATGAACTGAGTGAAAATGATTTTCAATTTCAAAATCAAGCCTAATTATTCAAAAACCGTTTAAATTAGAATGTAAATCACAGAGGGAATCCGGACAAAAATAAAAAAATTACCGAGTGCGTCAAAAAATTGTAAGAGGTCATATAAAACAGAAAGTCGCCTACATAAAATCTAACTGGTTAACATATAAATTCGACAGAATTTGAAAATGAAAAAACCCTAGACATAACCCAAAATTCCCTCGTCTTTCCTAGTCGAGTAAAGTATGCAAGAATATCATAAAATAAAAATCAATAATTTTACACTAAAAGCTCTAGAACTTACCGAAATCTGCATCGTTCCACCTGCAAAGAAAAAACAAAATATGTTTTATACAGAAGAAAATTTGTTCCAAACCATTAAGAATAAGAAATGAAACGAATGCATAAAGCTTCAGATGCTTTTCGAAAAATTAAACTTAATTCAACCTAGAGAAGTTATAGATCAGGAAAAATGCATACCATCTTCTTGCAAGCTGACGCCCCATCCTCCATTATCTACCCATTAATGTTCAGAAAACCGACACGGCACTAAAACAGTCGATCAAAGTCCACTTTGAATTGAAAACTTTAATCCTGCGGTATGCAGTCAGAATATACTACCGCACTTTATACTATTTAAACTATACTTTTTATCTAAGAACGCGATACACACGACACAAGGAATACGCGCCTTGTTGGAAAGCTGTAATAAAAACTGGATTTGTAAAAAGTGATATTTAAAAAAGTGACTTGGTCTTCCCGAAAAATGGCATGTGTCCGAACAATTATTCGGASGGACCCCAGCYTCTCAAAATCCCTACCAAGAATCGGTTAACAAAAAACTATTTGCTTAAATTTTGAAATTTGGAAAAAAACAGCCCGAACTCTAAATAGTTTGCCAGGATCACACGCAACGTTTTAAAGTGTTATCCAATCTAAACAATAAAAAATACAATTATTCGGACGGAGCCCAGCCCCTGAAAATCCCTGCCACGAATCGGTTAGCCGAAAATAATTTGCTTAAATTTTAAAGTTTGGAAAATACAACCCGAAATCTAAATGGATTGGCCAGGATCACACGCAACGGTATAAAGTGCTATCCTTCAATAATGCATTAAGCAATAAGTAGCAGTAAGCAATAAAAAATGCAATTATTCGGACGGATCCCAGCCCCTGGAAACCCCTACCACGAATCGTTTAGCAAAAAAAATTGCTTAAATTTTTAAATTTTGAAAAAACAGCCCGAAATCAAAATAGTTGGCCAGGATCACTCACGGTAAAAGTAATGTTAAACTTACCGAATGCTGCATTGTAAATACCACCTGAAAAAAAAAGGAAAAATCGGTATTATTACATAAATTTAGTCTAAAACGCAGTGATTTGTTTGAAAACACAAAGAAATATGAAACTGAATAAAACTTAAAATGTTTCTGGAAAACCCAACTCAGTTCAAGTTAAGGGTTTATAGATTAATAATCCTTCTTACCTGATTTTTGCAAACTAGCGCCCCATTCCATTGTCTATCCATAAAATCTCAAATCTCAAGAAGCACACACAAATGTTCTTCTCAACGACCTTTCGACGTTGGAAAGTTTACCATTCTCCCCTGCTTGGGTAGAAACAGTTTTGGGCCCTTTGAGCTCAATATTTTTTTGTGTAAAGAGCATAATTTATGAATGCTCATTTGGTCGCAGCATTACGATCTTCGGAATACGTAACTTGATATTGACAAGATTTTTTCCATTGGTCTTTTGCTCTATTTGCCTGAAATTTTTAAGTTTTGAAGCTTTATATGTTGGATAAACTCTACTCAAATGGCCGATCCAGATTCAAGATTCAATATATTTTAAAAAAATATCTAAACGGCAGATCAGTGCCGGAATGTTAGACTTCATTTTTATAATGGCTCGTGGATCAGCCGTTTGCTGGATTTTCATGAGATTTTGAGCCGGATCAGCTCTATATTTTGTATGAATACTGGCAAAATTGTTTAAATTATGGACATTTTCTTGTATGGGAGAACAATAAATTCTGGATTTTAATTCAACCATTCAAAAAATAAATGAAAGCTGTTGCGTGTGTAACCGACCAGAAAACGAATCCAAACTAACTCAAGCAGGACTTTCACTTCAATGTGTTCATTAGAGTTTCTTGGACTTCGCGGTGACTTTTTTCTTGCTCTGAGATCCTCTTTCTTGTTTCTCATT